GAAAGAGCTTGTGTTCCGAAAGGGTGTTGAGCAATTCCTATTTTGTCTTAACTGGTTTGGATCTTGAGTGAGGGCTAATCCCATCACCCTGGAGCTGAAGGTCTTTTGTCTTATAGATAGGGAGGCCCAGTCCTGCTAAGGCTATTAAGAAAGGCGTGGCTGCTTTCCAAGAGCATGTTTTTCCTTCAGGGAACTATAATATTCAGCCTTTTAAAAATATTTCCCAAAATATTTCATTCTACTAGGGGAGGGATGGAGGCTAACTTTGTACACTGGATACCCAATCTGCCAAAAAAAACCAACAACCCCACTTCAGTCCTAGGATGTATTAACAGAGAGATAAAATCAAGGACACATGGAGTGTTAGTACCACTTTTTAAAGCCTTGGTAAGGCTTTAATATTGCATCCAGTTTTGGTCATCACGAAAAAGAGGTTGAGGCTCTGGAAAGATTGCAGAGAAGACCCAAATGGGGGGACTAGAGACTAAAACATAGGAAGAATGATGCGGGAATTGGGTGTATCTAGTCTAGTGAAAACAAGGACCAGGGGAGACATGATAGCCGTGTTCCAACATCTAAGGGACTGCCCCCTCCCCCCCAAAAAGGGGGTCAACCTATTCTCCACCAGAAGGCTGGACCAGAAGTGATGGATGGAAATTAATTAAAGAGTGAACCAACCTAGAACTAAGGAGAAATGTCCTAACAGTGAGAACAATTAATCAGTGGGACAGCTTGCCGTCAGATATTGTGGCTGCTCCATCACTCCAGGTTCTTAAGAGATTGAAGAACAATTTGTCAGAAATGGTATAGTGTCTCCTGCCTGAGCAGGGGATTGGGTTAGAAGACTTTCCAAGCAGTGGTGGGATTCATTTTCTTTTTACTACTGGTTCTGCGGGCATGGCTAGGTGGGCATGGCCATGTGATTGGGTGGGCATGGCTTCTTCTTTTTTGCAGCATCACCCCCACCCCACCCCTTCAGGGCAGCCTCTGGGGGGTGATTTTGCTCCCAGGAAGCTTCCCTAGGGCCCAGAAAGGCAAATAATTGAGAGGGGATGCATCCCCTCCCTCCATTTTTGGCCTTCCTGGGCCTCAGGGAAGTCTCCTGGGTGAAGCAGTAAGAAGCAAGGGGAGGTAAAAAAAAAAAAACACCTTAAGGAGTGACTGGGCAGGTGAGCATCAGGCGGACGAGGTGAGCGAACATCGGGCATCGGGTGGGCAGGGCAAACAAGCGAGCGGTGACCAGGCGACTGGGTTGGGGGCATGGCCAGCCAGAAATTACTACAGGTTCAGCGACCCATGCCAAATCCTTGCTACCGGTTCATGTGAACCGGTGTGAACCGGCTGAATACCTCTCCTGCTTCCAAGGTCCCTTCCGTTGCTCTATTATTTAAAAGAGGGGCAGAGGCCAGAGCGTTTGCAACACAGTCATGTCTTCTCCTCCTCACCAATAAATCATCCCACCCTCTATTTTGACTCTCGGAGACCTGTGTGGTGACTTTGGGCATGCATCTTTGCACACAGATATATTTCTAACAACGGAGCAAGCTCTTTCTCTAGGTTGATGGTTTAAGAAAGACAGAGAAAAATAATGCACGGAGTTAATCATTGGGGAAAGAGTGATGCTTTTGGTTTTGTTCTCATCTCGGTGCTAAGATGTACTTTTAAGGTGGAAATGGTGCAAGATAAGAAATGGTGGAAGATAAGAATTCGCATAAAAATGGGGAAAAAAAACCTTAGTTTTTGGATGTCCTCTTTGCAAGGTCTTTTCCCTGATCAATAAGATAACACCTACAGAAGGTGAGCAAATCAGTGAGACTGATATGCCTTCTGAATGTTTCAGAGCTGTGTGTTTTCAGAAGGAATGATTTATAGGGTCAAATTCTCTCTGTTATCAATTACCCAGTTTTTTCCCCTCTCACGCTTACTTACAGATTAACCGGGTTGGAAGCAGTGGTGGTATTCAGCAGGTTCTGACCAGTTCTGGAGAACCAGTAGTGGAAATATTAAGTAGTTTGGAGAACCGGCAAATGCCACCTTTGACTGGCCCTGCCCCATCTATTCTCTGCCTCCCGAGACCCAGCTGATCAGCTGGGTCTTCTTTGGTGGCTCTGCACAGGAGAACGGAGCTGAAAAGCAGGTTAGTGGGGTGGGGAGGGAATGGGGATTTTGCAGTATTCTTCCCCTGCTCCATCCCCCAAGTCACGCCCACAGAACCGGTAGTAAAATTGTTTGAATCCCAACACTGTTTGGAAGGAACCTTGTAGGTCATCTCGTCCAACCCCCTGCCCAAGCAGGAGACCCTACACCATTTCTGACAAATGGCAGTCAGAGTCTTTTCTTGAAAGCCTCCAGTGATGAAGCTCCCACAACTTCTGAAGGAAAGTTGTTCCATGGGTTGATTGTTCTCATTGTCAGAAAATTTCTCCTTATTTCCAGGTTGAATTTCACCTTGTTCAGTTTCCATCCATAATTCCTTGTCTGGCCTTCGGGTGCGTTGGAAAACAGCTTGACTCCCCTTCTCTCTGTGGCAGCCCCTCAAATATTGGAAATCTGCTATCATGTCTCCCCTGTCCTTCTCTTCAGTAGACTAGCCATGCCCAGTTTCTGCAACCATTCAACATATGTTTAGTCTCCAGTCCCCTAATGAGACGTATGATTTAACTGACTCATATTTATGATGGTTGCAGTGTCCAGGGGTCATATGATCCCGCTTTGTGACCTGACAAGCAAGTCAATGGGGAAGCCAGATTCATTTTTACAACCGTATTACTAACAATTGCACCAATTCACTTAACAACCATGGCAAGAAATTCACAAAATGGGAGTCAGTAAAATGAGGATCCAAATTGTTGGGGGCAATAGGTTGACTCTGTAAACTGCTTAGAGAGGATTGTAAAGAAGTAGGAAGTGGTATATAAGTCTAAGTGCTATTGCGAAGGAAGGAAGGAAGGAAGGAAGGAAGGAAGGAAGGAAGGAAGGAA